TCCTGGGCTCAAGCAATCCTCCTGCCTACGCCTCCCCAAATGTTGGATTACAGGTATGAGCCACCACGCCCAGTCCTGAGTGATTTTCTTGATCTCAGGAAAAGGCCCAGGAGCACATCTTGCATCTGAGTCTCAGTGGATCTCTGCCTGGCTACTGGCTGAACTTGTGGAGTATTCAGCCGAGAAGTGGGGTAAAGACACCCCCAGGGTCACCCAGTGGGCTCTATCATCTTAACACTGGCCAATTACTTTGTGATTACAAGACAAAGCAGTATTAGACAGAACAAGTATCACTGGAACCCCAGGTTATGCTGTTTATTTATTTGAGACGGAGTTTTACTCTTGTTGCCCAGGCTGGAGTGTGGTGGTGGGATCTTGACTCACTGCAAACTTCACCTCCCAGGTTCAAGCAATTCTCATACCTCAGCCTCCCGAGTAGCTGGGACTACAGGCGTGCGCTGTCATGCCTGGCTAATTTTTGAATTTTTTAGTAGAGACAGGGTTTTGCCATGTTGGCCAGGCTGGTCTCGAACTCCTGGGCTCAGGTGATCCACCCACCTCCCAAATGCTGGGATTGTAGGTGTGAGCCACCGTGCCCAGCCAAGAAATAACATGCTCTCTGAATTAAGTGAAATTCTTCTTTGTACTTTAAAAGACGTAATCCCTTTCCCGTGAACACATGGTCAACATGTGAGCCTGTGACAGGGACGTCCTGTTATCCGGGGTGACGCTATGGCTCTGCTTCTATTTCAGGAATGAGAATTATGTAAACCAAAACACTGTTTCTGCCTGAGGATCCAGAGCGCATTGTTATCAGGACAGCATCTCTTACTGAACACAAGAAGTATCCATCTGAAAGAAAGCAGGGTCGAGGAACAGTTCCAGGACCTCCTTCCGCCAGGCTCGTTTGGTGTAGGCATAGCCACTCAGGGAGCTCAGCAGCTGAGCGCCAGCCCGGAAGCTGGGAGCATTGTAGGCACTGAGTGGGAGTGGGAAGAGAGAAGGGTCAAGGTCAAGGACTGTGCAAGGAAAACCACTTGATTCATTTCTCAAGACATATTTTTCTGCATATGGGTGGGAAGAAATGGCGACGATGACGTTACCTGTGGTTGCGTAAGTATGGAAAAACATAGTAAAGCAGACGGGAGATTAACGGCACAGCTTTCTCCTTCTCGTCACTTCGATAAACCATGTCCAGGAGGGAAGCCAGTACCTAAAAGAACAAGACCCTAAGAAAACAGAAACTGGCTGGGCGTGGTGGCTCACACCTGTAATCCCAGCACTTTGGGAGGCTGAGGTGGGTGGATCACTTCAGGTTGGGAGTTTGAGACCAGGCCAGCCAACCTGGTGAAACCTCATCTCTACTAAAAATACAAAAATTAGCCAGGTCCTGTAATCCCAGCTACTCAGGAGGCTGAGGCAGGAGAACTGCTTGAACCCAGGAGGCAGAGGTTGCAGTGAGCCGAGATCACGCCACTGCACTCTAGCCTGAGTGCAGACTCCAGAGCGAGACTCCATCTCAAAAAAAGAAAACAGAAAGAAAAAAAAAAAAAAAGAAATCAGAAACCCTCGGAAGCAAGCGACAGTAAGAAGTGCAGTCATGGCCGGGTGTGGTGGCTCACGCCTGTAATCCCAGAACTATGGGAGTCCAAGGTGGGTGGATCACGAGGTCAGGAGATTGAGACCATCCTGGCCAACACAGTGAAACCCCATCTCTACTAAAATACAAAAAATTAGCTGGGCGTGGTGGTGTGCACCTGTAGTCCCAGCTACTCAGGAGGCTGAGGCAGGGGAATCACTTGAACCTGGGAGGCGGAGGTTGCAGTGAGCCGAGATTGCGCCACTGCCCTCCAGCCTGGCAACAGAGCAAGACTCTCCACGGTGCAGCTTGAGGCCAATGCTGCCTGATGGACGAGCTCACCTGGGAGGGTGCAGCCCACGCTCACTGGCACCTGAGAATGAACAAATGTCTTTGCAACAACTTGTGACGGCACTCACTTCCATAAAGGATGACAGGTCAGGTGTGTATTTACCTCTGCCAGGAGAGAGAGGGCTTGCACGCTGTACACGGAAGGGGCGGATGAAGACACCATTGCTGAAGTTGCAGCAGCATCTGTGAACAGAAAGAGGCATTTGTGTGTTAACTATGATGGATGGGTCACCATTTACTGTCCCCAAAAGCACTGCATGAATGTGAGCCATCAGCTCCCACCTTTCACACCAATTGTGTCCATATGACTCAGGTACTCCTCTCTGTTAACATTCAACATTTATTTATTTATTTATTTATTATTATTTTTTTTTTTTGAGAAGAGTCTCACCCTGTCGCCCAGGTTGGAGTGCAGTGGTGTGATTTCAGCTCACTGCAGCCTCCACCTCCCAGGTTTAAGCAATTCTCCTGCCTCATCTTCCCGAATAACTGGGACTACAGGCATGTGCCACCATGCCTGGCTAATTTTTGTATTTTTAGTAGAGATGGGGTTTTGCCATGTTGGCCAGGCTGGTCTCAAACTCCTGGCCTCAAGCGATCCTCCCGCTTTGGTCTCCCAAAGTGCTGGGATTACAGGAGTGAGCCACGGCATCTAGCCTATCTTAAATATTTTCTTTCTTTTTGTGGTGAGAACACTCAAGATCTCTCTTAAGGAAAAGCTAGAACCACCCGCTGACCAGAAGCACCATCCGCTGACCCGTCTCCACCTACCATATAGGTCCTCCTCAGCATCAGATTCTTCTAGAGAGGCCTGAGGTTGGGCCTTCACTTCCAGATTTCTGCTTAGCCAGCTGGTTTGCTCCAAGGAAGAGCCAGCAATGTTCCCCACAGCTTCTAGGATTTTCTGAGTGATTTCCTGAGAATAATCAGGAGGACGGGGAAAGGAAGTTAAATAAGGAAAAGAATGTTAAGTGCCTAAAACAGCACTGTCCAATAGAAATAAAATGCAGGCAACTGTGAGCATATATGTAACATTAAGCTTTCTAGGAGCCACATTAAAGGTAAAAATAAACAGTTAAATTAATAATATAGGCTGGGTGTGGTGGCTCATGCCTGTAATCCCAGCACTTTGGGAGGCTGAGGCTGAGGCAGGGGGATCACTTGAGGTCAGGAGTTCGAGACCATCCTGGCCAACATGGTGAAACCCAGAGTCTACTAAAAAAAATACAAAAATTAGCTGGGCGCGATGCCACATGCCTGCAGTCCCACCTACTCGGGAGGCTTAGACAAGAGAATTGCTTGATCCCGGGATGCAGAGGCTGCAGTGAGCCGAGATCATGCCATTGCACTCCAGCCTGGATGACAGAGTGAGACTCCATTTCAAAAAAAAAAAAAAATTAATAATATATTTTATTTAACCCAACATATACAAAATATTATCAACATGCACTCAATATAAAAATTATTAATAGGCTGGGCATGGTGGCTCATGCCTATAATCCCAGCACTTTGGGAGGCTGAGGTGGGCGGATCACCTGAGGTCAGGCGTTTGAGACCAGCCTGACCAACATGGTGAAACCCCGTCTCTAGCAAAAATACAAAATTAGGTGGGTATGGTGGTGTGTGCCTGTAATCCCAACTACTTTGGAGGCTGAGGCAGGAGAATTGCTTGAACCTGGGAGGTGGAGGTTACAGTGAGCCTAGATTGTGCCATTGCATTCCAGCCTGGGCAACAGGAGCAAAACTTTGTCTCAAAAAGAAAAAACAAAAACAAAAACTATTAATGAGATTTTGCATTCTCTTTTGTGTGTGCCCTAAGTCTGAAATCCAATGCGTATTTTGCACTTACAGCACATTCAATTCAGACTACCACATTTTTTTTTTTTTTTTTGGGAGGGGAGGTGGTGGGTAGGACAGGGTCTTTCTCTGTCAGCCAGACTGGAGCACAGTGGTGCAATCAAGACTCACTGCGGCTGGGCATGGTGGCTCATGCCTATAATCCCAGCACTTTGGGAGGCTGAGGTGGGCGGATCACCTGAGGTCAGGCGTTTGAGACCAGCCTGACCAACATGGTGAAACCCCGTCTCTAGCAAAAATACAAAATTAGGTGGGTATGGTGGTGTGTGCCTGTAATCCCAGCTACTTGGGAGGCTGAGGCAGGAGAATTGCTTGAACCTGGGAGGTGGAGGTTACAGTGAGCCTAGATTGTGCCATTGCATTCCAGCCTGGGCAACAGGAGCAAAACTTTGTCTCAAAAAGAAAAAACAAAAACAAAAACTATTAATGAGATTTTGCATTCTCTTTTGTGTGTGCCCTAATTCTTAAATCTTATTCGTATTTTGCACTTACAGCTCTTTCAATTTAGACTATCACATTTTTTTTTTTTTTTTTTTTTTGGGAGGTGGTGGGTAGGACAGGGTCTTTCTCTGTCAGCCAGACTGGAGCACAGTGGTGCAATCAAGACTCACTGCGGCTGGGCATGGTGGCTCATGCCTGTAATTCCAGCACTTTGGGAGGCTGAGGCAGGTGGATCACAAGGTCAAGAGATCGAGACCATCATGGCCAACATGGTGAAACCCTGTCTCTACTAAAAATACAAAAATTAGCTAGGCATGGTGGGGTGTGCCTGTAATCCCAGCTACTTGGGAGGCTGAGGCAGGAGAAATGCTTGAACCCGGGTGGCAGAGATTGCGATGAGGCAAGATAGCGCCACTGCACTCCAGCCTGGTGAGAGTGTTGCGCGAAGTCAGGGACCCCAAACAGAGGGACCGGCTGGAGCCGCGGCACAGGAACATAAATCATGAAGATTTCATTTTAATATGGACATTTATCAGTTCCCAAATAATACTTGTATAATTTCTTATGCCTGTCTTTACTTTACTCTCTTAATCCTGTTATCTTCGTAAGCTGAGGATGGACGTCACCTCAGGACCACGGTGATAATTGGGTTAACTGTACAAATTGACTGTAAAACATGTGTGTTTGAACAATATGAAATCAGTGCACCTTGAAAAAGAACAGAATAGCAGTGATTTTTAGGCAACAAGGGAAGACAACCATAAGGTCTGACTGCCTGCAGAGTCGGGCAAAAACAGCTATATTTTTCTTCTTGCAGAGAGCCTATAAATGGATGTGCAAGTAGGAGAGATATTGCTAAATTCTTTTCCTAGCAAGGAATATTAATATTAATACCCTGGGAAAGGAATGCTTTCCTGGGGGGAGGTCTATAAATGGCCGCTCTGGGAGTGTCTGTCTTATGCGGTTAAGATAAAGACTGAGATATGCCCTGGTCTCCTGCAGTAGCCTCAGGCTTATTAGGGTGGGGAAAAATTCCACCCTGGTAAATCTGTGGTCAGACTGGTTCTCTGCTTTGGAACCCTGTTTTCTCTTAAGATGTTTATCAAGATAATACATGCACTGCTGAACATAGACCCTTATCACTAGTTCTGCTTTTGCCCTTTCCCTTGTGATCTTTGTTGGATCCTTATCAGTAGTTCTGCTTTTGCTCTTTGTCCTGTTACCTCAGAAGCATGTGATCTCTGTTAGACCCTTATTAGTAGTTCTGCTTTTTGCCCTTTGTCCTGTTACCTCAGAAGCATGTG